GCTGATGAAAAATATATTTACATTTAATTTTTATAATTATGTCCAGGCTATTTATATGTGCATATTTTAACATTTCACCAAGAAACCGAACCACTCGTCTACATTGTCCCGATAATATAATAATAAAATAAAATATTCAGCAATATTTCACCACGATAGGTTATAAGAGGTCATAATTCTATTATCCCTCATTGCTTTATGATTTTATTAGCATTCTCAACTGAATTTCATAGGTGCTGATTTTAATTAAATAACTGAATTTATAAATAGTCAATTTAACCTCATTTATTCCCGCATTTATTTTGCAATTTACGTTCAATTAAATCATCTAATACATCAGCCCTTATTTCTACTTTCGTCGCTTATCGATAAATAAGAGTGAGCGAGTAAAAAAATTATTGATGGGAAAATCGAAGATTGCGAAAATATTAGAGACAAGAAGATTTTAACTAAAGCTTTCAAAAATTTATCTAATATCGTTAAAAATAACGTAATCGTCATCCTTATTAGACTCGGCACATTAAATGCAAAATAATTCTCTATCATGTAAAATTCGACTAACAAATTAGGTCCCAATGAGAGAATAACGATCAATCCCGTTAAACTCGTAAACATTGACATAAACGAAGAGCGGAGACAATTCCAAACGTAAAAAATTGATTCCTATCGATTGATATTATATTATGAGAGGGAAAAAAAAAGGAATTATTTTGCTAGATGCATAGGAGGATCGTTTCCCCTCAAAACTCACAATGACTTCACACCGCCCAGTTGACACGCAGTCGTCGAGACGGAAATATTTATCATCGGTATAATGTCGAGTAACTTCTTGGCAACGTGAATAAATTAGCCCTTGTCACGTTGCCACCGCTCCGAGGAAGCAGAGAAAACGAAAAGCAAAGCGATGCGACGATCTTCGGCGTGGAAACATCCTTTAGGCCTCGACCGTAATGGACGGTAATGGACCGTACTGGACCGTAAGGACGTTTTTTTTTTGTTTTTTGTTTTTTTTTTTTGTTTTTTTTTTTTTATTTTATTGTTAAATGGCTTAGTTGGAATAATAATGTTTCGGGGGCCGTAGAAGTAATTGCAGTTTGAGGTATTCGACTACATCTGCCTCATCCATGTGTTTTCCATTGGACTCGCAAAACCACTGATAAAATAAAAATTTATTTATATTATGCTTTGAGCTGTTTATATTGGTGAAGTAATCAATTCCCTTGAGATTATAAAAACCAGAAGCTTCGAAATATTTATTGTAAATTATAAAATCGGATTCTTTAAATATTTATATAATGACTTTAAGCTTGAAGCGTTCATACGGCAAATAAATTTCTTCTGGAATAAGAGAGAATTTGCATTGTACCATTGCGTCTAATTTTTTTTTTTTCTCTCTAATATAGCATTGTTTTTTTATTTAAAAAATCGTCATTAAAAAAAAAAAAAAAATAAAAAAAAAAAAAAAACACACTTTCCTCACCACATATTCGCGATTATTGATAAGAATTATTTATTCTGTTGTCAACGCATAGCGCTGTTGTCTTAAGTGAACAGCTTTACGAGCAAAAGTTGTAACTCAAATATAGTTAATAATGAGAATAACGATCTTTTACAATTTATATATTATATAAGAATATATTTTCACGGTAATGATTTTATCACGTAACAATGAACTTCCTACGGCAGCAATTTCATTACATTATCAAATTTCTTTCTTTCTTTCGCAATTGTATAATTAATTTGGTAATATAATAATAATAATAATAATAATAATAATAATAATAATAATATAGTAATCGTAGAGCTTAAACTAGTAATGTAATATTATTGCAAATGTAGCATTACTTATGAAATTTATATCTCCCTCGTAGTAAAGCGGATTTATTAAAAGTAACTATTAATACACGATGGCATTAATAAGTTTAAATATTTTCCTACAAAGTTCCATTTGTTACAAGAAATTGTTTTTTATTTTAGCAGATAAAGTGTCAAATAGCTGAATTTGAAATCTATTAAAATGTAATAACACGTTTTATTTTTAATTAATTCTTATTAGCACAAATGCCAATAGACGTTGATGTAAATTAATAAAACAATAATCATAATAAAATACAAATATAAAGTGATTATTATAGAAATTGATCTCTCTCTCTCTCTCTCTCTCTCTCTCTCTCTCTCTCTCACACACACACACACATTCCCTCTCTACAATAGTCCCTTTCAATTCTGCTCAAATTGAGTTTCTATCGATGTTCATTAAATTACTCATTTTCCTCAAAATTAAAGGTAAAATACAAGGTATAAATATATGTTAAGCATATGATTTAAGATTTCGAATTTAAACGCCTGTGAACTCGAAAGATATGTCGAGTCGCTGTTGACGAAAGCAAAATACGCGCGAATTACTTTGAACCTTATGAAAAAAAGGAAAAGGAAAAGGAAGAACGCTTAGAATGCGCTCCAAGTCAATGAGGAAGGTATTGCAAGCATCTTTCTCAACATTCCCTTTATTTTTCTTTGCTGTTTATTATGTGTTTGTCTCTCTGTCGCTCTGTCTCTGTATTTCCCTCTTTCTCACCTCCATCCCGCCCCTCCCACATCCCCCATCTCGCTCACTCGCTCGCTCACTCGCTCTCTCTCTCTCTCGCTCTCTCTCTCTCTCTCTCTCTCTCTCTCTGTTCTGCAGCTATTTTCGACGTAGACAAATATTCGAAAGGATGGTAAAAATCGTTTTTAACCTTTGGCAATAATCTAAGCTCTTTTTCGACTAATTTTACTTTTGCATATCGGAAGGACAGCGTTATTATTATTTTTATTTTATTTTATTTCTTTTTTTTTCTCGAAATACAGTGATTCTAAAACTATCGATAATTAATTGTAAATTATGTTGATAATACCGGGATTTAAGTAACTCGCGTTTGAATGACTTAATTTAACCATCTCACAATTTACAAATGCCATACTTTAATCTGAAAAATGGGCGGTATATATTGAAAATATTCAATACTTTGTTCAATAAAAGTGCATTATTGCTTGCATAATTTCTATAGTGTACGTTTGGATATTATTATCTTCGACCTTTAACGATGACTGATGCATTGAAAAAGCTCGCATGTGCATTAGCTGAATTCTAAAATTATTAATTCTTCAGTTTCCTGAAAATAAATCTCGCATATGCACACATACGTTCGGCTGGACTTGTTTTATGATGGCTGACTTGTTTGTCGAATTTTATTTGGTACATAGGCATTAATAAGTCGATATATCATTATCAGATACAATAATGCTTGACACCAATTGCACGAAATTTTACAAACTAGAGCACAAAGCGTTACACAAGATAACGGTCGAGCGAACATAACAAAAGTATTCATCGTTTTGAATTAAAAAACGAATAAATAAATAAATAAATAAATAAAAAAAAAAAAAAGTATAAAAAAAAAATAAAAATAAAATAAAATAAAAAAGCAAAGAGTAGTTTGTAAATAAGCAACTACTATCCATCAGATATGTCAGAATGGGAATTTGAAAATTCAATGTATTTTCTAATGACCCACTGATCGGCAATAACAAGCGTCGCTTACTTCACGATTAAAGATGATAAAACGAAGGAAAAATTAGCGAAAATTTGGCACAAAGAATTTAAAGTGGGACGTCGTTAACGCGCATAATCCCGCCGCGTAAAAATACACTGTGCAGCTCGCGAGCAGAAGCATCAGCGAAAAAACGTAGCAAAATAATGATTAAGGAGGATAGCGATGTGGCGAAAGGAGCGCAACGACGACGCAACCCGGATGCTTTTCCCGCGCGCGGCATTACGGAAGCCATCGCTCCCTCCAAGGTGTCAGATCCTCAGACCCGGAGCATCCCCTCGCTTTATATAACGAGGACACGGGGGAGGGAGGGGGGGGGGCTCGGGGGAAGGTGAGCCAATTGTCCGCCGACGGCGATGATCCTTACCGGCCGCTGCCCGTCATGAGGGAGCTGTGGTTGGCGAAGGGCGCGCTGTAATAGTGCGGCGCTCCATCACCGTAGTACGGCATCTTGGTATCCGAGAACCTCGTCCTCGTTCGCCGGTCGGCTAGCACATGGGCCCGAGCTCGAGGTGTCGGTCGGTATTCGGATAGACGGGGGACGGGCGGTGGCTGCCGGAGGCGGTCCTGGTGACGAGGGTCGCGGTCCTGCCGATGGTGGCGAGGGTTGATGACGGCGTTGGCGTTGGCGTTGGCGGCGGAGGTGGCGGCGACGGTGGTGATGGAGGGTAAACGGCGCGCGCACCAACGTAACCGGGGGCAAGAGGCCGCCTCGCGACTCAGGCAGCCAAGAACGACTGAGGCGACGGTGGCCCGCGCGGCCGACGACGACCAGCCGCAAGAATAGAATCCGCGCCCTAGGTGTAACGTGTCCCCCGTGGCGGGGGTGGGCGGGGCCGCCTCTCTTTCGTGTGCGTGCACCGTGGGGCAGCCGGTGGCGGTCGGGCCGGTCTTGCCTCGCATTTTGTTGTCGTCTCTCGGGATGGGCTTCAGGGGCGCAGAGCCGGGGTGCCGGAAGCGGCTCTCGGTGCCGAATGCCGACGGCGATCCTCGCGGGACCGTTTTTTTCTTCCGACCTGAGAAATCCTGAAGCTCATCATCCTCAGACTGCGGGCGCCCGGTTAATAAAACCATTAAACAAACGTGGATTAATTATAACATAGTACGGATGATTTTTAGTGGAGCGTATTTATAAATATTGCTTATAAATAATTCACCCTCCAAGTTAGCACTCGCACTTTTTACCCGGATTGTTGCTGAATTCGCGTCCGCACCTCGACCCTTCTTCCATCCTCACCTACGTTTTATCAAATGATCATGCGAATCTATCGAGCGACGTAATTACCTCGAGACCGAAAATATTTCGAAAATATACGAATAGATAGAGTATGGGATATAGATGGAGAAATATTAAAAGACACGTGTCGCGAGCTATCGATGAGCCAATAGTGAATTCTATTGACATTTGAAATTCCTTTGAGTTTACGGACTATTGGGATAGCCATTTCTAACGTGTTAATGCGGATCATCGAGCGCTGGCTGTTTCGTATGAAATTATCCAACAGTAAAAGCGCGGAGAGCTATTATAGTATTTGGTACAAGAACCATTTTCAGTGCACCAATGATTGTAATAATTATTTGCAGGCATCTTTGAAAATGTTCCATTGCCATGTAATAATGTCTTTTCGCCTTTCCCCAGCCTCCCCCCCCCGCCCCCAACCCACACCCCCCAACCCCCAACCCCCAACCGCCAACCCCCAACCCCCCCCCCCCACCCCACTCCACCCCCGCCAGCGATCACGATCGCTTAAATTTAAACCTCCCGTTATTTATATTCTATATGAATAAAATGCAAAGCCAAAGAAAACTTTTGTCAAAGCGTCAATCTGAACAAAAAGTGCTTTTTAATACTCGGCTAAATCGATGAAACATCTACTCTGTTCTCGAAAATTCGGTCCGTCGCGCTGAACTTATTTGTTAGTCCGATTCACGGGATTAGGGTCATTGTAGATAATTGTAAGACCGACGAAGGAAATATCAGACTTGGTTAGCGGATGGAAAATAATTATGTCCATCGTCTTTCAAGTTTATTAAAATCAGCCCAATCGATGAAATCTTTAATTTAACCTATAAAAGCTTGCACTAGTGATTGTAAATAATGAGCGCGAGTCTCTGTGAAGCTGTAAAATAGCGATCGCGAGTAGATGATCACCAAAATTTTCCTTCATAGACTTTAATGCAGGTTTATTAATGCTAAGTTTCGTTAAAATTTCTTGGCATCTTTTCTTCGACAGCGTAATGATGCAAGCAAAAGCACGCGAAATAGTTTCATTGAAAGTTGTACATGTTTGTGTAAGAATTCGAGTGACACCTTTCATTCTGTTCTTGGATAATAGATAATAGATAATAGATAATAGATAATAATAACCAATAAATTCTATAAGACTCGTGTAACTGTCTTTAAGAGATTATAATTAATTGAGGAATGACAATATGAATACATTTGAAAAAAAAATATATATATATATATATATTTTTTTTTTTTTTTTTTTTTTATTTTTTTATAGAATGACATTGATGAAGAATGTCTCATTTAAACTATTAAAGAATAAACATATGTCAAGACATTCGGTATTAGATACTGTCAATATTAAAAATTCATATTTCAATTTCTACGAATAGTCTATTAATTTTTATTAATAATAAGCACTAAAAATAATAATGATCCTTATATTTATTAAAAATCACCGTTAATAAGTTTTCTCTCCTCCAGAAATTTTCAATGCTAAAATCAAATGCCAATTTACAGTCAAGCTCCTGAATGTTTTATCAACATGAATAAATTAAGAAAATATTCACCACTCACCATCGCATTTTAATCCTTGACGAAAGAGTCCATAGAGCATGGAGCCGCAATGATCGCAAAATGTTGGCGACACGAATGTGTGAGTCCGAAATCGATGAGGCACGTCCACTTTGAATCTCTCTCGTAAATACTGTCATAAGAGATAATAATGATTAGATAAATGTTGATCGATTGTAGGTCAAGGTCAATGTAATACATTATTGTTAAAGTGCAATTGTGATCGTTGAACTTTACAATTGTTCGATCATTATCTTTGTTATATCAGTGTTATAAGATATATGGATTTTATAATCCATCCCAACGTCCCAACGTCGTATAAATTAAACATATTTTAATCGTAAAATTGAATGTCAAATTAAGTTAATTAGATGGTCAATCATTTATTTATTTATTTATTTATTTATATAAAATGCAAAGTAATTTATTGTAAATGGTCAAACTTATTCTTTTAATTGCTTGCTATAAAAAATATTTGACCTATGAAAAACGTGCGACCGAATATCTAAAAATTTAGTCGCAGTTCTTTATCAAAATATTCATATTTATAAATGGTACAACCACTTGTAACATTTACAAAAATAATATATTTATGTTAGTAAATGGCAATATTGCACTTGACTTATTAAACGTTTTCACTATATATTATTTTGCAGAACAAATTTCTCTTCTTAATCATAGAAATAATTAAACCATATATTATCAATATTTGACAGGAGAACAAATAATCATATTTGTGACGGATAAGTGACAATTGTATTAATTAGAAAATTAACTCGACCCTTCGAAGCTCATGAACTCCAATAATTGTCAATTTCACTTCGCCAATTTACATTATTCGGTACGGATTCACGTACGAATAATATCAATATTTTTACTGTACCATTTCCAAATATAAATAAAGCAGTAAATTAGCCAATAAGTAAATACAATAAACACTAAACATGGTAAGATCGATTACAATTTTTTTTTTTTTTTTTTTTTTTTTTTTTTTTTAATACTACATTAAACGCATCAATCAGTGTTTCGTAGTCGTGAATAAAGTTTTTAATTCAACATCTTTGGAAATATCAATAATTCAGATGTCTTGATTCGAATTAAAAGAAAAAGACTTTCTTCCGTTATATATGCTACAAGCTACAACACTTATGAAATTATTATTCGACATTTTTCCCCAATAAATTATTACAATTGGTGCAATTGTCAGCATTGCCGGTATATAATTGAAGAGCTTGCAAGCACATCATATCCAAAGATTGCCGTGTAAAATACTTAGATAGAGCATTGAAGAAAATGACCAATTGATAATGAATTCGCAGCGACGAGAAGGGGACCGAGGCGAGTAGTCTCGAATAAAAACAAACTTTTCCACGACTCGGTAATGCAGGTTCCCGCAAACCTTGGCGCATGCGCGGTCGCGCGCTCGCACCGTAACCGCGCGCTTTTCGCACACGCGCTAAGCAAAAATGTTCGCACGTGCCAAGGAATGCGCGTCTCTTTGTCTTTAACATGGCCGAGTGCACATATTCACGCGCATCGACCCGAAATTATCCGAAATTCGCCTCCCATTTTACACATGCGAATTAACGCGGCGTTCGTCGTCACCCACGACATATTCACCCGCGTTCGCAATTTGTTTTCTCGAGCACATGAATATAATTGCAGGCTGACTCATTGCGAGACCTTGAAAGCTCGTTGCACAAGTTGACGGAGCCGTGCCGCCTCATCGGTTGTCCAAAGTATTTCTTCGTACGCACGCTATGTTCGCAAGGATACGGAAGCTTTTAGATCTCAGTTATTTGAGAAAGAAAGCTTTATCGGCGTCTAAGCTTTCACATGCCATATGACTCATACAATTTTTATAATTACACAGCCATTGTAAAAGCCATGCTGTATCGTAAGAATTCTGTTATTGGCGAAAGGTCGTTCGTTTAGACTCTTGTAAAGGCTCTCGTACGTGGCTCTAGTCGATTCATTCTGATTATATTATGTTTTCAGCAAAAATAACACGAAGAATATAGTAATATTCAAAAGAAATAGCAACCAAATGAAAATTAAATGATATTAAAGTGCCCTCTTATTAATTTGGTGCTTTTTTCTCTCTTTTTCTGTTTCTTTTTTTCTTTTTAAAATTAGCCTGTGCATATATTTCATTTTAGATTATATATCATAAATTTCAGTTAGTCTATTTTAACTTTTCATAGCATAAGTAGGTCAGACTCTTTTAAAGAGTCTTTTAAGTTTTTTTTTCATCTTTTTTTACTTCATGATACTTTAATTTTATTTTATAAAAGTAAAAATCTTATTCTTTGCTAGCAATACTCATACACAATGAGATTTTCCACAATTTTTCATCTGAATTAATAGATATTTACGATTAAATGGATGTTCAAGAAATCGTATCGTTATTAGTTATTTTTAATTACAACGAATGCAATAAAAATGATATTTTCCAAGTAATTAAATGTTTATGAATATAACTATACAATTTTTTTTTTATACATTTACACATCTAGCTTGTACAAAAATATATTTGAGTTAAAAATTATTTTCAAATTTAGTGCTTCGGTCATAGTACAATCTTTTTGTCACACAATTCGATTTAAAAGATTCCACTATCTATAAATTAACAATTATTAAAATTAAAACTAATTTTTTTACGCATAATGTAATTATATAATTATATTCTGATTTAATTTAAATCTTCTTTATGTGGCGCATCAGAGGCAATTCTCGCAATTAATATAAACGAAATAAAAAATATTATAAGTAATATAATTATATATGTTTTTCGTTTAA